TCCCTAGATCGTGCCCTAGCAGAGCAAATACGAGTTCCTCTGTTTCCCTTTCTTTCTCTTCTATTTTCCTCCGTTTCCCTTTCTTTCTCTTCTATTTTTCATATCAGTTTACAACTTATTTTTGTAGAATTTGCACCATGTGCCGCGGCTCCTATCCCTACATGTCGTGGCATGCAATACAGAGAAGGAAGCTCTCTTCTTGTGGCTCTGTGTGCCACAACGCACCATGGCATGTGGCACAAAGGTTGTTTATCTTATTTTTCTCCACTTTTTGATCCTCAAGTGACTTAATTTTACTTTAGACCTAAATTACACCTAAAAATTTAATAAAAAATACTTATTAGTCTCATCTGACCACACACCATGTCACTTACTTAATTATCCTAATTAAGCTTAGTAAATCAAGAAATTAAAAATTGAGATGTTATAAAGGGCACATAATTCCCTTCTCATGATAGTTTTTGGCTTTCACTTGATTTTGGTAAAATCTATCCATCAAGTATGTTCAAATGCAATCAAGAAAATCAATAATTGGTCATTCCCTTACCTCCAACAATCTACCATTAAAAAACTCTGATATGTTATTCAGAATTATATTAAACTTTTAATAACAATCAAAGTGTGCCTTAGACCAACAAGATGGAGGAAAAATCATTAAATGATCATATGCTTCCTTTGAAACTTTTTTTTAGCTCATTCATTATCCCTTCCCATACTAGTGGGTAAGCTGCCTTTGCTGCTCGTATTACTAACTCTATCACCAAAGTGCCACCACCATACTTTGCCTTTATATTGGCCTACAAGTATCTTACACAAAAACGGGGTTCTACACCTTCAAGCAATTCCCCAAATGCTTGAATCAAACCTTACACATTAAAATAAAAAATTATTTGATGAACAAATAAATTTAATTTTGATAAATAAAATACTTTAAACCTTAATATTAAAATCACTACCTTTTGTTGATCTGAAATAAATACCCATCTCTTTTCAGCCATGGTCTCAATATCATCAAACAAATTCTTCAAGAACCACATCTAAGCATCTCTATTTTCTATTTCAACCATTACTACAGCTAAATAAAAATATTGATCATTAGGATTACAAGCTACAACCACTAATAATATGCCACCATATGGGCCTTTGAGAAAACATCCATCCAATTCAATAATTGGCCTACATGCTACCTTGAATCCTCTTTTTAATGATTCTAAGCACATATACGATCTCCTAAATATTCATGGACAATCTACATATAGCTTATCAATGATTAGGCAAAATGTGGAGCCAAGGTTTTTTTTTCATTTAACTTCCTTACAATAGTCTCTCAAGTCAACATATTCTTCTTTATTATCCCCCTCTATCATCTCCTTTTTGTCATTTTTTCTAGCTTGAAATGCTTTGTTGATTGAGGGTTAGGCCATGTAACTTTTTATATGGTTGCTTTCACGTCTGACAACTTAATATTTTTGTTGATCTTGACATTGTCTGCTATCTTTTCAACAATTCACTTCGATGAAGCCCTTTTCACATCAATTATTACTCCACAAGCATGCTTGGATTGAATGTCTTTAGCCAATAGGTTGAAGAGCCTCTTTCTTTGCTTACAAACATCAACCAGCCACATCCACTTGTGCATTTAACTCAGCATCTCTCTCTCTCATTTTTATATAGTCAAATGTATAACCATTCAACAAAAAGTGCTCCTTCAAAGCATACCTAAGTTGTTTTAATTGAAATAAATTCCATCCTAAAGTAAATTTAAAATATTTATACATCTTTGCAAGATTGTACTTGCAATACCTTGTTTTTGAGCTTATTTTCCTTATCATCAGATGCATAGTCTTCATATAACTCATCATCCTTTAGATTGACATCAAATCACCAATATTCTCATTGGGTACCCCAAATGAAGGAATAATATTTAAATCCGTAGGTTGATGTTTTAACATATTAGAATAGCTTCCATTGCGATCCAACTATTCTACCATCTCATCCCCACTCATTCTTCCTAAATATAACACACCAAATTTTTTTTTTTAAATAATTTAACTCAACCATAGTTGAGTTACAGCCACCCAATACATTTTTATATCAATAATTTTAATAGAAAATATTTTATAATTGGCTTCAACTCACACACTATAACATTTCGGATAAATTGTTACCTCCCACATGCCATTAGGCTAAATCACATTTGTCCATTCTTATACTCCCAACAAGTAAACTAAATTACATTTGTCCATCCTTATACTCCCAACAAGTAAAATAAGCAATTTAGTCAATTTTCAACACAAGCTAGTTATTTGGCCTTATAATCATGCCATTTTAACCAATCCAAAGTAAACCAAATATTAAAATTACAGTCATTCAAATTGTACCAAAAATAGAAATAGTTTGAAAGGCATGATTACATTTATATATTCATATAATTGACAATAAACAAAAAGCCCTAATATTGGCAATATAACACATTATAAATCATAAATTAAATACCCAAAAGAGACAGTGGATCTATACCACTAAGCCTCTGGGACTCCTCCACGTGTCACTCGTGGCTCTTCTCCTGAAAATTGTTAACCACATAATGAGACTCAAAAGTCTCAGTAACCAAAGCCAATTTATGATAGTATATACAAACAGTCAAGTGTGTGCTTACTAAGTGAGAATTAAAAATAATATAATTTCAACAAATATAAGAAATAATACAATACACATAAATAACCATCCTTATATCCCTCCATTAACCTCGAGCCGTAGCTCTCACTCGGTGCTAAATTACCCGGCCAAAGGTAGATTAGCCCGAGCCCTTACAAGCCACCTATTGAGCTCTAATAGGGGCGTACCACGTGGCACATAAATACAACAATAATAGCAAGTCTCCCAACACCTCCCACAATAATTAAACAAATTCATAATAATATTGCACAATTATACAATATTACAAAATTCATAATTTTCTCAATAATCACCCAATTAACATGAAGTAACACTAATCACAAATTAAAAGCATGGTTACCTTGTGGCTTTTTCAATAAATTATTCCTTAAAATTTCTCTCTTACCACAATCTTCACTAGTAATACAATCTACAAATAACATATTATTTATAAATATTAGTTTCAATTTTTGAAACTAATAAAATAATTTTAATAATATAATTAAAAATATAACATAATTCCTAATCTCAATCTTAATACAAATCTATAGTTAATACTATTAAGTAAAATTTTTAACTCCTCTTTTAATTATTAATAAACATTAATAATCTAAAAATTAAATTTTAAACTAATTTCTATTATCAAAATTTTCTTTTTATTTTATAAATTCGCACCTAAAATACCCAAAAATTAAAAATTAAATCTCTAGCTTAGAATCATAATCCTATAACCATAATAATTCATTTCTCATCCCAAATAATCATCTAAACCTCAATAAATCAACATATATTTTCAGATCTAGTTTAGAATTTGATCCATAAGCCACAGATTCAAAGATCATCAATAAATTTATACTCTAGAACATTTATTATACTACTGACAACCTCAAAAATCATATTTATTCAACATAAATTCATCCTTCTTCCAGATCTTAAATTTTCTACCACTACAAACTCAGAAACCAAAAAAGAAGGATGACTAAGAAAAAATTTTAGAACACTTACTTAGTCTTGAAAAGCTTAAAATCACACCCTAAATATCCTATTAAAAACTCTTACCTTAAAACCCAGCACCAATGAACTTGGCTCACAGATGCTCTCTCTGCCTCAGCTCACGCACAAAAGAAGGAATGAAGAAATGAAGGAACAGGTGAGTTTTTATAAAAATTCAGTAGGTCCCACATCTTTTTTTATTATTATTTCTTCTTTTCTCTCTCTCTTTTTATTATTTTATATTACTATTGATGCGGCGGTCGAAAGCGTTCACATTTTCTTCCTTCTTCTTCCTTTTTTTTTGCATACCTTTTCCTTTTTTTTATTATAATAATAATTTTAATAATATTTTTTATTATTTTTTAATTAATTTTTTTAAATTTTTTTTAATTTAAAATTATATCCTAAATTAGATTTAATAATCATTTTCTACTAATTTTCTTACCTCTAAATATTATTATTTTTTTTAAATTTCTATTAACCCAAATTAATTATTAAAATTTAAATTGGGATGTTACACTAAATCTTCTTGGAATTTCATATGCCTGAAATTTTATCAAATAAAAAAATCTTTGAGAATAGAAAATATAAAGCTTGCTTTCTTTGATCAGTGCTAGCATGTGCTAAACAGAAAGCATAATAAAAAATCTTTCTTTATATATGAACAAATAATATTTCAATATATTGGCTACTATTTTAGTTATTTAAACTTAGCAAAATATATGATAGTCTTACAAAAGGAACGTAGAATATATGACCGAAAAAGAGAAGAAGAATGCAAAAAAGAAGAGAATAGAGAAAATGCACGCACTAACCTTCCTCCGTTACAACAATCTCACAAATATATTAATCGCATGTGATATACCAATCTCAAATGAACACTACAACAATAAAAAAATTTTAATAATTAAAAAAAACTTTTTACAACGGCTCATCAAGCAATGTTGTTTCAGAAGATATAAAAAGTAAAGAACTTTCCACATTAGTTGTACAACCAATGTAAAAAAATATTTTTTGCATCAATTGAGAGTCATTATTGATATAAAAAATGTATTTACATTAGTTGTATGACTTCACCAATGTAAAAAGTACACTTTTTACAACAATTCTAGCTTACAATCCATGTAAAAAATGCACTTCCTACAACGAATCCAGTTACAACTGATGTTAAAAATTGTACTTTTTTTAAAAAAATATCTATAGGGGTTTTTTTTGGGTTGCATGATTTACAACCCAAAAAAACCCCTACTATTTAAAAAAACAAATAGAGAAAAAATGACGGAAAGAAAATTCAATAGTAAAAAATAAGAAAGAGATATTTGATTTATTTGAATATATAATAATTTAGATAAGTACAAAAGTAATACCCGACTTTCATTTATTGAAAGCATTACAAAGGAATAGGAATGTCAATTAAACAATATAAACAGAGCCTTTGTTTGCATAAAAAAAGATAAAATTCTTAAGGAGAACAGAAATGCAGAAAAGAAGACAAAAGTAAGGGGATCAAGTTCTTTATAGCAACTCCTCCTTTTCCTATATGAGCAGGATGAACACACACCAGTTGTTGATACTCTTCTTCACAAAATCCAGCAACCTTAGCTTTCTTGTACCACAGATTCCATGCCCTTTTTGAAGAAAATGAAACACAAGAACCACTTGTTTGTCAAGAAAATGTGCACCCCACTACACCTGCATTTTTAATTTTCCCATTGAAGTAATATATGGCCAATACACAATTAGATATCAAATTAGTATCTTAATATGTTTCGCCCTCTTGCTGAACAAACTAAACAATAATTCACGCACATAATAAATTTAGATAAATAAATGTAATATGTCTTATTGTATCAATTTGTGTGCCACAATGCCAAAAAGTAGTGCGTACATAAGCATGGCTCAAGACTTATAAGTGCATACCTTTGTTTCATATGTTTGAAATGCTTCGTGGGGTTTTACCGATTTCTAGAAATCAAGCATTTGTCTTGTGAGTCTACCATATATATTTAGCAAATCAAAATAGCTCATTCCAACTTGAACTTTGAATACTAGTCATACCCTACTGAGGGCTAGCTCTTTCATTTGTCATAGTATTAACAAAACTAGAAGTCCCATTTGCCAAATAAAAACAAGAGGAGCATTGATCTTCATACAGTTCATATTTTTATTTGTTGCAAAATAAAAATCTCATATTATAATATATTACCTGATAATATGACCAAATTCTGAACAAAAATGTGAGGCGGAGATGCCTTGCATGTGTGTCCAGAGAAGTGAAGGTTGAAAAGTTCCCTGTTTGACAAAGATGCACCAATAAATCAATTTATTGTATGAGAAAGAGATAAAAGTTCCTAAAAGGAAGAGGATAGGAAAGGCATAAAATTTTTCAATCATCCAGCAGAAAATAATTAATTGAACTCTAATAGACAAGGATTTTCATGGCACTCATTTATTTGCAGCCCAAATTCTGAAGTGATTAAGAACCAAATAAAGCTAATCTTTCAAGGTAAATAAAAAATCTGCTCCCATTGGAACTGCAAAATTTTGGCATCCTTAAAAATAAAAAAATAAAAAGGAAAGAAAGAAAAAACTAGCATTCAAACATAAAGAATGTTAATCTGCACAGAAGTACGAGAATACCTGAAGGACCACAAAATGGATGAGGTAAAGAAGGCAAGATCACTCAAACCAGAAGCGATCATCCCTTTGTTGGACAAGTGGCACCCCCTTCACAACATCTCTTTCTTAAATCATAAATCTCATTCCCATCATCATCACTTGATGCTACATTTCCACCAAAAAAAAATTGTCTGCATTAATTATGAATATTCATTAACTAATATTAAATTTTATCATCTCACGCACACATCACTTTTTTCACTTGCCACTAGAGGGATAAATGGAAACCGTAGATGTGCATAGCATCCAGTTCATGCATACATGATATTGAATTAGTATTATCGACTATTGATCATTTCTCCAGTTAAAAAAATTAACAATGAAATCCTATATTGCAAGGGCAAAAACCAGAACAGAGTACAAAAGTATAACAAAACAACATGAAAAGAGACAAAGTAAATGAACCAGCAACAAAGGGGCAAAACCAGAAGAACAAACAAACAAACAAAAAATCGAACATTGCCCAATCCGCACAATGGTTTGAATTTTCAAAAATCAAGCATTTGTATCTCTCAAAAATTCACTCAAAAAGTTGGCTCTGAAAATAGTACCTTGTAGGGTTTGTCGCAAATGTAAATAGCCATTCATAATATCAAGGACTCTTTGCCCACTATATAAAGACCCCATATGAGTGCGCCGATGAAGCCAGCACCGTCAGTGTTTGTTTAGAGTATAAGCAAGAAATTATAAAAGACAATAAAGAGAAAGTAGATAGAAATCAATTATTAATAGAATAGAGATGAAATTTTATGTAAATGAATGACAATTTAAGCGATACTTGGAGTAGACCCGTGGGTATTTCATATATAGAATACCTGGATCTGCCTAAGAGGAAGACGCTGAAGGACCGAGGAAAAAGATGCGAAACACCCATGGAGCGAGACAAGATTGACAGCAACAAAGGGAGAGGAGAAGACAGCAGCGACACAAAGGACGAAGACACGTGAGGGATCCAGGGGGAGAGGGGGGTCTGAGACGCGGATTGGGGAAGCTTTGAGAGAGCCGAGGGGGAGGGATTTGCAGTCTAGATGAGGGGGTCTGAAAGTTATCGAAATTTTCATCTTCTTAAAAATATTTTATTTTAAAAAATTTTTTTACACCCAATCTATTTAAAATTGGTGTAAAAAAAAAATATATATATATATATATATATTATTTTATAAATTTTTTAATCATGTTTTTCGTCAGTTAACTAAACAGTTAACATAAAAAAAAATACTTTCTACATCGATTCCCTAAGGACTGATGTAAAAATGACTTTTTATATTATTTGACTAGACAATCTATGTAAAAAATATTAGTTATTTAGAGAATTAATGTAAAAAGTCCAACATTTAGTTTGCTAGCTAGAAATACGAATGGGCCTGGCTCTTAAGGATTTAAACTTGATTATTCATTTTCAACCTCCTTTTTGAGGCCGACCTTATGTAAAGGGCTCAGAGCCGGGCCTGAAAGCCATATTTAAAAAAATTAAAAAAGTAAAATAAAATTAAATATTATAAATTAAATAAATATTTTGAAATTAAAAAAAATTAAAATCTACACAATATTTTAAAAATTAAAAAATATATTTAGAAATTTAAACAACACACATTTATCAATCAAAACCCAAATCTTTATTATTCTCATCATTTACAAATAAAATATTAGATCTCTCGGATGTAAGTGTATTTTTTGAAGATGAAAGTGAAAATTCAATATCAATTACCTTTACAACTTCTTCTTGATGACTTACAATAAATATTAACTAAATTATATCTTTATCAATCAAATATATGTATGTATATGTATATGTATTTGTATATGTGTATATATATATAATAATCAGGTTTATCAAGACTTAGAGGGTCGCCCAGGCCCGAACTCTTTTTCACAAGGCTTATCAGGACCAGGCTCTCAATCTCGGTTCCTTTGAAAAAAATAATTTTTAAAGCTTGAACCTTATTTAAACAAGGCCTACAAGCCCGACCCTCCAGATTCGACCCTTATTTTTGGCTCTATTTAGGGCAATAGCGACATATAAGTAGCTTTCACAGTATTGGGCCTTCGACATCCGCCTTCTTTATTTTGATTTTAGATGTGAATTTTATTTACAAATGTGGCTTTGATTTTCCACATGTATGCCTAATCAAATTCATCAAAACAAGTTTTATTCAAGTGTTTGCCGTTTCATCAATAGATAAAGTTAGTCCTCTTTTAATAATTTTATACATAAAAGATTAACAAATCTAACTGAGGAAACTTAAAGGACCCAATAAAAAAAACAAAAATTACAGGACCTGATTTAAAACTAGGAAAAACTATAAAGAGGCCCACTAACTTTTCCTAAAGCATTTGTAATTTGTTTTATGGGCTAGATTCGTAGACAAGTGGGCTAACAAGAAGTAGGATTGGTAAGGTAGGTTGGGCTGTAATTTTGCAAAGGGACCTAAGGTTATGTTTGATAGTATTAAATTAATAAAGTGAAAATAAAATCAAAATAGAATTTTAATTTAAGCATGATTTGTATGTAAGAGTTGCAATTCTTAAAAATTCTAATTTCATCAAAAATGTTAGGATTCAATTCCATTATATTGACCATGGAACTGTTTCAATTCCCTTGCATTTAATTTGTGGACCCTACTATTCTCATCTTTTTTGTCCATTTATAACAAGATATATCTTTTTAATTTTTTAAAAAAGACAATTTAATCTTTTTCTATTTTAAATATATATATAAATTAATATTATATTAAAATTTTATTTTTATATCAAACACATTTTTAAAATTCAATTCTATTTTAATTCTGATTTCGATTTAATTAAAAATTCATCCATAATCAATGGGATGAACTTCCTTTCCCCGGAACTATTATTTTTTTATTTGGACGAGGAAAACAATAAAAGTAATAGATTAACAATTTTTTAAAAAAATCATAATATTTGTTACCTGTTCTCCCACCTCCCATGCATGTAGGGCATGCCTCATGAATGGCTGCAGCAAGAGAGGCGGTTGTAGGGGAAGACGTCATATTCCGTCTCACATTCACTGCGCTTTCACGTTTCTTCACGGAACAGAGTTTGTGTCAGGGGGAAGGGGAGACACTGAAAAGGACGGCATTGTTTGAGGCCTGCCACTGCCACGCATGCTCCCTGCGCTATTTCCCCTTCCCAACATCTCTTTTGCATTTCACTTCCTTCCCTCCCTGGGAGCAGCATGGTCGGCTTATGTAAGTTGGGATTCACTCACTTTTTAAAAAATTTTACGAGAATAAAAAGAAAGATCCAAATTTCCACAATCACTCGTTAAAAAAAACCAACGAAACGAAAAAATGAAAAAAAAAAAACTCAGCTCAAATTCACAAGTTGCATCCAATCTTTTCATGCTTTTTGTAGTCCATTATTTTATCTGTGCCCTCAGAAGTTACATCTAATCTTTTCGACTTGAATTTTGACCGGCCACTTGTGAATTTTGATAAATGTGACGTGACTCATACTTATCATAGGATATGATATATAATTATATTTTCATTATGATACATTTTTATTTTTTATTTTATCAATTCAGATGATTATGTTATGTTGTGAATAGTAAGATGCATGTAATATAGATATGTATTATTTAGAAATGAACATTTTCTGAATATATTTTTTAAAAAAATCATTAACTCAGTTGCTTCCTGCTTGGTTTTTATTCCTCTGGGAAGAAATCAAGTTTCAGAGTAAGAATGTGATAAAATAATGAGGAGTTTCTTGTGAGGGAGGCATATATCGGGTTTCCCCCGCATGTTTGGACATTAGATATCCTTGGATTCTGCCCTCTCCCTCCTTTGTCTTCCTTGTTTTCTTGTGCTCTGCTTCTCCCCCGTCTCGTTCTGTTCCTATTAGCCTCCCCGCCATCTGACAATACTGCTCCCCATCTGCATCTTTCGTCTCTAAATCTTTCTCGGCCATCCTCGCCCAGTCACTCCTCTCTTCTCTTTAATTACCGTTCCTTTGCTTGTCTCTCTGCTGTCTCTGTTTGTGCATCCCGCCACGCACGCCACTTTCCTGTCGCTTCTATTATTCTTATTTTCACACTCTTCTTCTAAGCGTGGTCCCTTAATTACTGCGTTACGCCCTACAATACACTTGGCCGTCCCTTCAGTTGCTTCCAAATTTAAACGATGCTCTGTTATTGATGTTGATAGTTATGTACGGTTCCTTTTTCTTTCTTGACTTTGACCGGGACATCTTTTTTAATTTCCTTTTCTTTCTTTTTCTTTTTCTTTTTTTTTTTCATTTACCCTGTTTCTACAGATCTTCTTTCTTCCGTGACCACATATTTGTTCATTGATACATCATGTTGTTAATTTTAAATGAAGTAATGTGAAAAGTTTAATATATATTTATTGATCATAAGTTTAATAAACTGTTACTTTTTTAACTTGTTAAATTTGACTATAATGTTATCAATTTAAAATGAATTTGTTTTTAAAACTTAAATAAATATTTATTGATGAAAGACTAACACATATAATTATATCAATTTTATATATTTTTCTAACTTGTTAAAGTTCAAATGAACTGTTGTTAATTTAGAATGAGTTGTTGTTAAAATTTAAACAGATATTTGATGCTGATGACTAAAAGCACAAGTCTAATGGAACATGTATATAAAAAACAAGTCATTCTAAATTAACAACAGCTTATTCTGGCTTTAACAAGTTAGAACAGCACATATGATAAGCATAATTATACATGATAGTCCTTTATCAATAAGTATCTATTCAGATTTTGACAACACCTCATTCTAAATTAATAACAATTCATTCGAGTTTTAATAAGTTAAAAAAACATATAGGATGAACATAATTGTATATATTAGTTTTTTATCAACAAGTATTTGTTTTAGTTTTGACAACAATTCATTATAAATTAACAGCAGTCTATTAAAGCTTTAACAAGTTAGGATAATATAGGCTTAATTGTATGTGTTAGACTTGCAATTAACAAGTATACATTTAGGTTTTCACAGCAATTCTTCAAAAGTAACAATAATCTATTATTGTTTTAACAAATTAAAAAAATTTATATAAAGAGTTTAGTTGTACGTATTAGTTATTTATTAACAAATACCCATGTAGGTTTTGACAATAATGTATTCATGATTGATAACAATATATTTAGATGTTTGACAAGTAAAATACGTGAATTTTAAAGCTTTCAACTTGTAATTGTCTATGTTAGATTTACAAGTAACATTTATAAAATAACAAATTTCATTAAAAAATTAACAGCATACCATTATGTTATTACATGAAAGTGGTTAGTTACTGCTTATATTTTTTTTAATACAAGGCCACGAGAAACCCGTGCAAGAGGATGGTACAAATCAAATCATATTAGATTCTAGGTGGGATCTGCATCCTGGCGGCAGATGATTAAAAATGATGAAATTTAAATTATCTTGAGAGGTTTGGTGAGTGAGAAAGTTGATTCAACTATTCGCTTCCTTAAACATGTAATCGAAAGTAATGATCCAATCTCTCATGACAAATTATTTAATTTTATTGATAGTTCCAGAAAGAGAATGATTGTCAGAAAGATTATGCTAAATGAGTGAGAGGGCTTCCATAGAGTCAAAATGTATGTTGATATTAGAAACCAGCATATTCCAACAAAGCTGAAGTCCTTCAAGAATGGCTAAAAGTTCAGCCGTGGTGTTGTAGTGATAGCCAAGGTATTTAGAGAACCCCTTGATCCAATTACCTTTGTCATCACGTATGATTCTGCCACAAGATACAGCTCCATTGGAACTGACAGCTGCATCAACATCAAGGCGGATCCAACTTGTGTCCGGAGGTCTCCAGCGTGTTTCAAATCTTTTTTCCATCACGGTTAAAAATGTTAACTTTTGATTGGAACCTCATGTCATTAGTAACTTGTTAGGTATTGGAGAAGACAATATCAATGTCTTGAATGGTATCCTAAAAAAAAATCCTTTTACAATGCGCCTTCTAGATGTTCCAATAGACTTGAGTAAACAGCTTCTGCTAAGGGATCCTTCT